ACTGCCTAGATCCTGCCTGTGTCCTTGTCACCAAGAAACTAAGGACAGGAAAATGAAGATGTAGCAAGCGGTTACAAATACAGATTTGCTAGAAAGGACACTATCCCCAACACAGGAAAGCAGTTTGATATTATGTGGCCCATCAATGACGAGTGTATCAGCAACAAGAGAACTTGGGCACATCTCAGTGGCCCCCATGCGTGCCTTCTGAACTGTGGGCCAAAGAGAAACCTAAGCCTTGCGGGGCTCAGGCACAGGGCCCAGCCTGGTGCAAAGCATGTTTTGTGTGATGGCTGCGTAGCATGCAATTATTCATTCCCAGACCTTGAGAAAGTGTTGGGGAAAGAGGACAGTGGTTGCATGAGACTTTTTTTTTTTTCCAACCATGGGAAATTAATGCAGCAACTGGAGACGGCAGAATACGGGTGCTAAATAAAATAATGTGTCTAAAAGATGCCATTGTTTGAAATTAGCCCCTTGGACTGACAGGTAATTAACTTCTTCCACTGGTTTAATTTCTTGTGTGGACTGGTATACAGGAAATCATACATGGGTGGTAAGTTTTTTCCCTCCCCTCCAATCTCAGAGGAAATGTAACCGGGTATGAACTTGTGGCACAACTCATATATCAGTGGTCTGTAGAGGGCCTACATAAATCCTTTTCTTTAAAGTTCTTGAACTGTTTTGAAAATGGTTTCAACAGAAGCAACTCCAGTGGCAAGAAAGGAAACCAGGGCCTAAAGGAAAAATACGCTCTCTTTGCTGAGCAAGGCAAACATATCAGTATGCAGAGAAACAGACCAGCCTCTTGTGCTTTCGTCCCTCAACAAATCCCCTGGAACACTTCCTTTATGTCCTTCAAAGGCTGATAGGCACAGAATTCTGTGGCCACGCAAAGTAATTCCTACAGCTGGCTTGTAACCACTTACAAAAAGGCCAGGTTCCTTTTAAAAAAATAAGTCTCTCCGTGAGTCTCCGTCTCCTTGTGAGGGTCTGCACACACTATAAACACAGCAGGAATCTGTTGTTGTTGTTTAGGAAAAAAAAGTTGATCAAAAATGTACTGTCTAGCTAAGAATTTTCTATTGAAAGAATTGGTTAACCTGCTGTTTTGTCCACCTACTTTTATACACGAACTAACACGTTCTATCACAATTTTTTAATAAGTCCTTCATAGAATAATATTTTTCTAGTAAGGTGTTAGTGAATTTCCGTCACGATGTTTTTGTTTACTTTCCCAAGCATTAATGTTTAAAGACTTAATATTTGGAAAAGATGAGAACTCGATGTTGTTTAAAACTTACAAGGTCAAAATCATTTGCCAAAACTCAGTGCAGTTTTGAGAACAGCAAGATACAAATATCCAAACAAGATGGCCTTGGGGGAAGCACACTTTTCATCCATTATTTGTTATTTATAACTGATAACACATGAACTTAGATCTTGGTCCATTACACCTTCTGGGTTCACAGTTTGGGAAGAAGGCATCTGTTTGTGATTAGTCTTAGTTTCCGAAGGTTTGCACACAACCAGCTCCTTTAATTCAAGGTTTTGCCCTGATGTCACTTCAGGGTGGCCTTTCCTGGCTCCCGTTTTAGGTACAGCTTTACCTACACTTGACCTAATCTCCATTTCCTACCTTGATTTCCTCCCACAGAACGTGTCAGACACAGTATGCTTTTTGCTGTGTCGTTGTGTGTAGTGATTATTCCTTGTGGTTTATCCACAATGTACAACCCACGTAACTAAGTAAATGTTCTGTGTTTGTTGGGAGCAAGTGGAGCAAGGTTTTTTTTAAAGATTTCTGAATATAGATATCGCTAACTGTCTTGGTGGTTTAAAATGCAATTTCACATCAATTCTCTTATTTAGTTATTCTTACGCCAACACTCTGTTTTGAGAAAGTACTGTTATTCTAATTCAGCCAATCAGCAACTAGCAAGTTGTGTACTCCAACCCGACGCCAAGGTCATTCACTGTCCTTGGGGCGCTGCTCCCGCTCCAGTTGTCAATCCATCTGGTTGCTGGAAACATGTGCAGCCAGATCTCAGAGCACAAATGTAAGAATGGAATGTGAATATAACAAATACATGATAAAATGAAATCAACTCGATCAGCCATGATTTTCTCACTAAGATAAGCCGTTATATGCAAACAGAAATCAAGGCTATGAATCCTAAATTTCTAGAAGCTGAAGCTGACATCTGCTTACCTCCTGAAAATGGAAGAGCAATGCATACTGAGGCCCTGTGACGTCACCTCGAAGAGCCTCCACAAGCTCCACCTTACGCTGAGAGCCGGCACGGCGCCTGCTAGTACTTTAGTCCTTCGTGACAATTCCGCTTCACTTCATGTTGTAGTTACAGGTTGAAAAATCCCAGACCAAAAGCAGCAGAACCTGACAGAACTTGAAGTCCAATGCAGTTGGGAACTCTGAGAGGAAGAAAGGACTTACTACTGTGTCTACTCATGCACACTGGGGCTTCCCAAAATTTACGGAGAACTTGTGTTCATTTTAAATTCCTTTTTTCCATGAACTTGATGTAGTTTCCTTCTAGCAAACTGAGCTAAAGGAACAAAGTTCTATTGGATGAATTAATAATATAAGGACTTATTGCTAGCTTAGATGTTCCACAAAGCCCTTCTGCTAGATTATATGACCATTGCAGGCGATGCACTTAGTCAGTTTTGCTGATTTCCTAATAAAAGCTGCTATAACCAAGTTCCCCTGGCAGCAGTTAAAACTACGCAACTGTAATGGCTCACAGTTCTGGAAGCTACAAATCTGAGACGTTCTCAGGCTCGTTCATCCTGAGGGTTGTGGGGAAGAAGCCATGCTCTGCTCTCCCTCCAGGGGCTTGGTGGCAACTTTGCTGCTGCTTGTCTTGCAGAAACATTACAGCATCTTTGCCTTCATCATCGTGTGGTGTTCTCCCTGTGGTGTCTGCTATTTTTCAAAGACACCAGTCGTAGAATTTCAGAATTCTTTTCCTTTTACTGGAAAGTCAGATTTGCCGAGAGAAGGAGACAGAAAGATCTTCCATCCGCTAGTTCACTCCTCAAGCGGCTGCAATGGCAGGAGCAGAGCCGATCTGAAGCCAGGAACCAGGAGCTCCTTCATTGTTTCCATGTGGGTGCAGGGTCCCAAGGCTTGGGGCCATCCTCGACTGCTTTCCCAGGCCACAGTGGAGCTGCTGATACATGCACCAGCACCCTTCTGGGATCCCTGCACGTGCAAGGCAAGAACTTTAGCCAATAGGCTATTGCACTAAGCCCACCATTTCAATTTTTAGAGTCACAGTAGAACCCATAATACTGGCCTGAAGATCTTCATACTTGTTGCGTTTTTCCCTACAGCTCTTAGGTGTCCAGGCATGGCTGCTGAATCCATTCCAAGTAGTACTTAAAGAAGTTTATGGAAAATTAAAATCTGAGTTATGTGGTTGTCAAAGAATTTTGAATTCCACTCATAAGAGTCATAAGAAGTCTTCAAAAATACTCATGAAAAACATGTTATGGAAAAGTTATGTATGAATGGAACTACTTTGCATTGCATGCATGACTTCTTGAAAATTGTCTTTACATGTCCATCTTACCAAGGAAAGGCACTGCCTCTAGCCATATCCTCACTGGGCTTTATGTTACGTCATGACATCAGAAAGGTACCTTATATCATCATTAATGCTCTGTTTAGGACTTTCCAAGAAGATCTTTTTAATATCTTCACATCTAATATGTGTATGGTGTGGTTAAAGTAAGCAGGTTTAGCTTCCATATCTACATGCATACATAAAGAATATTGTATTTCAATAATATTTAAATTACAATGCTGTCCTTTGTATGTCCCAATTTTTAAATTTATATTTCTCTTGCAAATCTCATCATCAGAACTTTTGGGAAAGCTCTTGAGGGTATATATTTTTATTTGGACATTTAACAAGGAATTTGTGGTATATTTTCTAAGAGTTTGGTATTGAAATGAGGAGTTTACCACTGTCAGGATTTGCATTGATGAGAACAAAATGAACCATTGAGTTTCAGATCTTAGAAAGTCTGTAAATACTTGTTGAGAACTATATGTAGTAGAATGGACGTGAATTCACAAGCTTAAACTCCATTTGAACCACATAATTCAATTACTAGATTCAAAAACTGTGCAGCAAATTTTGATTTTTAATATCATTTGATTTCCCATAAGTTGGGTTTTCTTGCGACATCTGAGTCTTCGCTAAACCTTTTCCACTGTGGCTGGTTTTTGCAAGTGTTCTGGAATGAAAGGAGCCTCTCAGAAACACAGGATGAGAGAGATTGTGCTTGCATTTGCACAGGGCAGGAGGGCACAGTCACATCTGGCAGAGGTAGCTGACGGCATCCGTGTGTTGGTGCTCATTAAACTCACATTAATGCATGAGCTGCTCGAAATGTGTAAATGCTATTTCAGGTTGGTTGCTTTCCCCCAGACAATGGCTTTGCCTTTGCAGGGTGGGTGGTGGTGGGCCGGTGGCTACCCCCTTGTTGTTTACTTGCCAATGGCATTTGACCTGGGGTCAGACCTATATTTAACCCTTTCGTACAGGTCAAAACCAAATTAATTTGGTGCGAATTAAATTGGAAATGAGTCATCTGTACAGCAGGTGTCCCTGTAGAGAATGTGGGCCAGGTGGAAACATTTTAAGTTCTGTGCTTGGGCCATCTCCGAAGAAGCTTCGGAGGTCAAGGAGGCAATTCCAAGACACTGCACGTGCGAGGGCCTGGGGACGGGGTAGCAGGTGTCCACCCGAGGCTCTTTTCTCAGCAGCGTGGAGAGCCCTTCAAAGAGGCCCCTTTGGGAGATAATGTATTCATAGATTCATGAACATCTATCTTGGGCATTCATTGTGGACTGATTTACTTAGAATTTGCCCTAAATTATTGGAATTGTTGCCTCCCACCCTCAAAGACTTTGATTTGAAGGGAGGAAAAACATCAGACTTTTTTTTTTCTCTCTCTCTTTTCTCTAGAGGATGAGGAAGATGAGGAAATGGTGGAACCTAAAATTGGCCAGGATTCAGAATTGGAAAATCAAGACAAAAAGCAGGATGTGAAGGAAGGTATGGCATGAGAAAGACACTGAGCAATTATTTCATATTTACTGATACAGAGGGTGAGTAAAAATTAAGTTTACATCTTTTATATGGAACATTTCCTATCATGATTCAGTGTTTTGCATTTAGCATTATCATCTGTAACCTGCAAAGCAAGAGCCATTGGTTTCTTAACTGATAGAAGCGAAGAAGATGGAAACCACTTGCAGTTGCCTAGCAAGTCTCGCTGTCACACTCATTGTGCGACTCTTTCTGCCATAATCCTCAAAGACAGCATTGAAGGGAAGGAGTGCATGTAACTGTTTTGTTCATTACTACTGAAGGGTTTTTTTAAATTAAATCAACAGAGAAACATTAGCAGTGTCTACCATTGTAAATCGTACTTTCCGAAGCTCTGCCCTTCAAAGGAGCAACAACCTCTTGCATTTTCCATGGGCAATAACAACATGTGCTACAGGCTTGCCATCTATTTGATTATATTTTAAGCATTTTACACATAGTTTCTACTCTTCACAATATTCATTTGAAGCAAATGCATTTGTCAATATCCCTCCCTGTTTTTGTCAAAGAAACTAGAAAGACAGAAGTCCAAGAACTTCCCCAAGTACATGCACCAAGACTTACAGTTAACTCCAGATCAGTGTGTCTGATTATAATGCCACCCTAATGGGAATTCCTTGAAAATCTGGTTTTGTGTTGATTTGGGCTTTACAGCCCATTGAGATGGAAGAAAATTTTGAAACTGTCATCCTTGCTGACAGATGAAGGATCCTGAGAACTAAGTATAGATGAAAACAAAACAAAACAAACAAACAAACAAACTTGCATGTTTCCTATTGAGTCTCCAAATACCGATTAATTTAGCTCTAATTTGAAGTAAATGTCAACGGTAAGTTTTTACACTGACTGTGACTGGCAGGGGTTGTGGTACACAGCTGACACTGGGCACCACTGTGGGAATGTGGCCACGGGGAGTGTATGTCCGGAGTACAAACCCTTGTTGCTCATGGCAGAAATGAACTGTTACTCAGATGTCAGTGATTGTGGATGACATCACTTCAAGTTCAGCTTCTCCATAGAAGGGGATGAATGAGACAATACTGCTAATTGTCAGAAACTGTCTAATGCTGCAGCTCTTTTGAGCTCAGTGAGTACATGTAGTTTTCTTTGGATTTGTTTTATGCAATCTCAAGTGTCTATCAGCCAGTGCAGTGTAGTGAGGGAAAAACATAGGCTCTAAAAACTAACAGGCTGGAATCAACTCTTGGACCTGCGATTCATTAGTTGTGTGATCACTACTGACTGATGGAGTGAGTTTACCCTTTTAGGGGCCTTAGTTTTCCCTTGAAGCACACTGAGGTATTTAGTTCTTCAGGCTCTTTCTCTCACACTCAAACGAGCTAATGTGGAACAGTATCTGGTGCAAAGCAAGTGCTGTATGAATGGATATTTGCTAAATTTTCATACGCAGTCTTGCCTTTTGTAGCATCTGAGTCCACAATGGGCCCTGACCTTGTTGGGTGCCTTTGTGTGGACTAGTTCTCTATACTCAGCCTTCCCATTGCCCATGACTTTGAAGCTGTATCATAGTTGCTTGGGTTCTGAATGGCATGTTGGAATTTGCAGAAATATTGGAAGTGATGCAGGCAAAGTCTTTGTAAGCCTTCCTTGGGAGAATGGTCATTAAGTATTCCTTTCCTCTCACTGTGCCTCGTCCGAGGCGTGGGGAAGGTCACACCCTGTCACCTTCTGGGGTATGAATGAGCTTGTTTAACAGGAGCATTCACAACAACCTGAGGGTTTCTTTTTCCTGAGATCCCAAAGTGGTTTAGTTGGAAGCATTTTCACCTTCAAACCACTACAAACATCTTTTTGCAGAAGACTGGTGCATAGACTGCACCAAGGTGTAGCAAAGGACAAAGTAAGTCAGGACTGATTTTAAACTCTCTTTCTCTCTTTTGCAAAAACATTCTTTAAACATACGGGATGGGGATACGGCGCCAGGGTGTTTCTTGTGTGTAACCATTGCTGGAGCTTCATGGAACTAATTAAAGTCATGTGAAGTCAGAAAGAAGTTTGGAAGAACATTTCCTGTCCCTGCTGCACTGTGTGCTTTATTCCTATTAATGGCTTTTCTGCAAATTAGCACATGATGGGTTAAAGCCATGTTTATGTTGGCATCAAACTCCCAGGGCTCTTTTTTTTTTCTTTTTAAGCAAGACAGTATTTTGCAAACTTTTGAAAGAATCTCTAGCAGATATAATCGTGGCGCCATTCACACGGCTGCATAGTAGTTAGGGCTGTGTCAGCACTTCCATTAGGAACCCTGCATTTTAGGGATTTATTACTCAGCTATAAAAAATCTCCTCTGGGCTGAAGTTTGACATACATGGTTTCAAACCAGGGAACGCATTTTTGAAAAATCTGTGGCCCCTCCCCTTTTTTTGTCTTTTGGAAGGAAGTTAAAAACACCATGAGGAAGAGATAGACTGCTCACTGTTTTTTGGTGCTTTCGCCCATGTGACCCTGAATTGCATTAAAAAGGAAAGAAATGTAGCTTTGACTTATTACTATTTTCACTCCCACTCCCTGCAACTGCGTAGGAGAAATCAGCAGACACATTTTAGCTTTTAATCAAAATTTGGAAACTTTCTGTATGTCAATGTTCTAGTGTCCTCATGCTTGGAAATTCAAAAACATCAGAATCAGAAACCTAACTCTTATAAATACAAATTAACTCATAAACATCGCACTAACTTCAGAGAAAGGTATTCTCTGTTGTGAGTTTGGTTTGGATTTTCTTGCTGATTTTTTATCAGCTGATTTCACTGTAAAATTCCCATGCAGCCCCTGCCCATAGTTAATCTCAAGTTTTTCCTGGGTATTTGGTGTTTGTTCATACTTTTGATCTTCTTTTATATATCATTTTATATTGAAATCTCAAGCTACCCCATCTGAGACAAGACAAGGCATTTCTGTAGTCAATATTTTTACAACAATTTTAAAACTGAGAGCAAAGTATTCAGTGTAAGTAGCAAGTCTCACTACCCATTTTGGTGTTTTTTAAAGGAGGAAAAAAGGCTGTGGGATCCTAGATGCCAGAAGTTAAGGTGTATGGTAAATAAAAATGTAATGCACATTCAATAAGAAAATAAGGGAAGGCAAGAAAATGCAGCAAACTGGATCAGCTCCTGTTTGAAGACAAGTGTGTTTTCACATGTTAAACTAATAGTTATAAACATTTCTATACTAAGACCAGAAATTGGAGTAAAACATATATTGGATTTAAATACTGTGTCACAAACCGTAGATTTAATCAGTCTTATAAATATTAAATATCATTAATCCCGGCCATTATTCTGTTATTTCAAGCCAAGAAATGACTGTTTAAGTCAATTTTAAGAAAGTTGAAAGTTGTCATGATCTACATTTTATGTCTTATTTACATATTCTTTTCATAATCTTTGTAACTTTAAAGCATATTTTGAAACACTCTGAATCTGTAAAGTATTATGATCTGTTGAATCTTTGTAAAAATGCTTCAATGTCTGCGTTGCCAAAACAAAAACAAGCAAACAAAAAAATTGTCCTAACAATATTTTATGCTTTCCCTAGAAGAAAACAAAATGTCAGCTGTGCTACACTTTGTCCTTATTTGTCTTGATACTAAATTAATTTCTTTAACTTCTGTAATTACAGAAAAATTCCACAGATACAATTTTTTTTTAATTCAAAGCAATAGACCTATAAGGAAAGATGCAGGTGAAATTAAGCCCCATTTTATGAACTTGTTAAAAATAGCCCATTTGTTTGCAGAAGCACATCTTTCAGGGAGAATATGAGACCTGTCCAGAAGTAAACCAACGGACTCTGCCTTGCTTCATTCTTGTTGGCCCCAGGAGTCAACTCGTTATTCTTGCATGAAACTTCGGCAAAAGTTTCAGCTCTGGATGCAGTTGTTGATTGTAGTTCCTAGATGCTCTGTATCATACTTCCCATTTAAAGATTTCTAAAATATGTGAGGTTTTTTTTTTCTAAATCAAAAGCAGCTAAGTTCTCAGTTGAATATTGTTTATGACTTTTAAAAAGTACTCATCCCATGCGTGTGATTATTTTATGCCCACAAATAACATCATTTGATCCCGGTTAGACATCAAAGCTTTGAATACAAAATATAACCTCTGTTTTACTTCAATAGCAATTTAATTTCAAGCCAAATATTGTATTGTCAAACATGCTAGCTTGAGAGGCTGCTCCTTTACCTATCTGAGGTTGGCCTCTGCAAGCACACTTTGATCAGCCATTTCTGTTTCCCTGAGAAGGGAAGTTGTGTGCCCTGAAAGCTGAGATCAAAGTGACAATAAGCCACAGAGAAGAAGAAATTACAGAAAATTACACAGACACCACTTTTTTTTTTATTCAAGGTAATGGACCTGCAAGGAAAGATACAGGTGAAGCAGAAATGACTCAAAAAGATAAACAAACACTAGAAAGATATTTTTATATCATAAGAAAAGGAATAAGGGGGAAGAGTTTCTGCTTTGTTTAGTATCAAGTGTCTCAAGTCATCATTAGCACTGACCAAGACTTGGTGGGTTTTATTGAAAATAGGATGTTCTTCCTGTTCCATAGCACCCCTCTTTACAATTACTTTTGTACTTGTATTAACCCAAACAAAATGGACCTAATATTTTGTAGTTTAGGCTTTTGTTTCTTTTTCAATTTAAAAAAAAAGTACTTATTCATTTATTTGGAAGGCAGAATTATAGAGGAAAGGAGAAAAGGGAGAAGGGGAAAAGAAAGGAGAGAGAAAGAGAGATATTTTATCCTTTGCTTCACTCCCCAAATAGTCACATTTGGGAATCTTCCATTGCTTTCCCAATAATGTTATTAAGGAGCTGGATCAGAACTGGAGCTACCAGGACTTAAACTGGTGCCTATTTGGGATGCTGGCACTACAGACAATGGATTTATTCACTATGCAACAATGCTTGCTTCTCTTTATTCATTATTCCCATTTTGGCATCATTACACACATTTTACACATAAAGTTCTGCTGAAAAAGATTCAACTGATTCAAAGTCAGTGAATGGCAGGATACACCTGGCTACAGGTTGGTTTTGTGGAGTTCTTACTCTCAAACCAAAGCATGAGTCTACTCATTGGCCTTTTCACCATTTCTCAAGCTAATGTGTGGGCAGTGCTGTTCAGTTAAGATAGGCAGGGATTCTGAGAGCCCCACTACACAGTGGTACTTTCTGAGCACTGTCAACTCAGGCAGCAAGCGAGTTTCTGTCTGTAGCTAGGGCTGCTAGGAACTACAGCAAGGCTGTGTTTGGAGATGGTCTGTTGTGTTAGATCAATCTTATCTTGCCACATTGTTACCTAGAAAGCATTTCTTAAGCTGTGAACCAGTGACCACAGTCATTCCAATTTTGTCTGCAAATACAAACTTGAGAATCTATTCATCAGTCTTCAGCAGGGAAAGGAGAGACATTATGGGCCTCGAAATGCATGATCTGCTGCACTGATTGTGTAGAAAGGCTCTGAAGAGTGTGAATTTTTTAGGACAGTGGTTTTCCTGGTACTCAAATAATTCTATGCAACAGTATACTACAGGTGACTTAAAGTAGTCTTCTGATCATTTGGCCAGGTCACAATTGGTCTTGGTTATGCTGACAGTCATCAAAGTGTTGTGGGAGCTTGTGCAACTATGGTTGATTGATGCCCCCAAGATTTCCATCTGTGACCGCAATGCATTGGATCTTGCCTGTAGTCTATGCTGCTATGCTGGTAAGAGAGTCAGCAGGCCAGTATTTGTCTGATATTCTCTCTACCTGAGAACAAAACTGGAGTTTCCCAGCAGCCTCAAAGCTTCAGCAATGGTCTCTGCTTGCCAGGATTTCAATCTGAGGATGCTTCTGATCCCTACTAGAAAGAGTCTGTTTAGCTGAGTTGTGACTCTGAAATACACAATATTTCAGGATCTATAACACATATCTCATTATTTCATCTCCCTTTGTCTCAGTTTGCATCTTGAAATTTAGCTTGAAAGTATTAATCATGCTGGGGAAAATAAGGCATGACAAATCATTGGGTGTTTTATATCAGCATTTCTTTGTTTTGTGTATTTGTTTAAAAGTAGAAGATATCTTGGGGGGAAATGGGTTGGGAATTACATTTCTTCATCTTTTGAGTGGAGGCTATGCAGTAATTAGCCAGTCTTGCCAACTAATCATCTAAAACAAAATAGAAAGAGAAAAGGCACTGAGTCATTTGTGTAGTTTCTGCTTATTTAATATATACAGCTTTATAATAGTGGATAATATGCATAAATTTGCAGATTTATCTATTTTACCTTCTTGGGCCTGTTTTTCAAATTCAATTCTAAAGAAAGTACCATTTTGAACCAATTGATAAAAACATGCCAGTCTATTTTCATTTGTAATCTTTTCCAGCTCTTCAATAATCAGATCAGACATGAAACCTTTTGATGGAGACATCTCTAAAAATCTTTGCTGTGAATTGGTGGACAACTTTTCATCAATATACATAGCAGTTGTTCCAATGTGTCTTTCCACATCTTTCATAAGCAGTCTTTCCTAGGTGTTGGGTTTCTCTTGCAACGTTGGAATTAACCCTTTTTTTCTTTCCCTTTGATCTGTTTCACGGGAAGCCCCTCCCAGAGAGCTGACAGAGGAAGAGAAGCAGCAGATTCTGCATTCCGAGGAGTTCCTCATCTTTTTTGATCGAACAATTCGCGTCATTGAGAGAGCTCTGGCCGAAGATGCGGACATCTTCTTTGACTACAGTGGTCGAGAATTAGAGGAGAAAGATGGGTGAGTTTCCAGGGTATACATTTTTGAAACTGATGCTGTAAGTTGTGTTGATTATAAATGCGTTCATGTAATGGCCTGACAAATTTCAAAACTGACAAATCAGAGGAGGAGGAAACTACAGGACTGATTTTGCTCAACAGCTTTGAACATAGGCTTTGGCTGTAACTTCCAGTTTAGAGCTTCCTTGTAATTATCATCTTCTCCCATGAAAGACTTTTGTACTTGATGTCCAGGGAAAGTCAAGGTGGTAGAGCCTGGCAGAGTTTTACACATTATCCTTGGTGTAATAATACAGACAAATTTGTGGATTTGAATTATTATACTAAATACCTGTATCCTTGATTTCTAAATAAACAGGAAGTTGAAAAACCTCAACATGAGATATGGGAGAAAGTAATTGATGTGGAAGACAACAGAGTCTGTGAAATTTTTCTTCTTTGTGATTCTGTGAAATTGCACACACACACTCCAAAAAGTTTGCGGAAAATGCAACTAAAAAATAAACTTATTTTTGTACAGAATGTTGAAATAAATGCATAGCTTTTTCAAAATGTGTAACTCCATGAGCTTTTTGAAAAGATCTCTTAAGTCTTTTAGCACATGCAAGGATACATTTACAGATAAACAACAACAATAACAAAAAAGACTTAGAGCAAGTAGCCCTCAATGAACTTCTCCATCACTACTCCATGTACTGGAAAAGGCAGTCAACTACCATAATGAGGAGCATAGCAAACTCTCTATGAGCCATTTAAGGAAATAGAGCTGATGGGTAGCCACGTGTTTCTTCTGGCCAAGAACAATATGTAAAGACAGAATTGCTTTTTTTTTTTCATCAGGCCTTGTGTATTATTACTATTTTCAAAAATTCACATACATTCTTAAAGGAGTATACCATATCATTAAGATATTCAAATGACTATAACAGATTCCCTAAAAACAATATTTAAACGAGTTCTGAAAATATTCAGCTTAGGTGTTCATCCCACTTGCCTGATTTGGTGGTGATGGGGCTGAGGAAATGTCAAGAGGAACAAAATCCTGATAGGTCAGCTAATTAGAACCCTAAGAAATAGTCTGAGGCCAGATCCTCCAGACTGGACAACAGTGATACAGGCTGAGTGATGCAGAGTGCCAACAAAACAGACTGAAGCTTGCAAAGGAAACCACGTTGAGTCCCTAGTATGGTAGAAATGATCACCAACCACTTAGCATGAAGGCAACCACAGCAGCCAATCAGAATTTACAGTGAGCAGGAGCATGCCTCTCCTTCTTGTTCTAAGAAAAGGGAAGATGGTTTTGATGTCAAAGCATCTGCTCCTATGTTGTATTTCTTTGCTAGCCGGATGATTCTGAAGACACCCCACTTCTGGTTAGAATCTAACAGAGGAAGGAAAGTGCTTCAGGACCTGTCAAGAAGGGAACTGAAAACAAACAACATTTTATGCTAGCCTTGGCATACGTGCTGGCTTAGAAAGAGATTTTCATAAAAGAAGACTACCTTTAGTTTAATTCATGACATAAGTTTGTTATCAAGATAGATGTTTTGGCTTTATTGGGTGCAGTGTCCCACACTTGTTCTTTCGCTAGGCCAGGTGAGCAGTGTAAATGTCTCGGTAGTCTGAAATATGTTTTTCTCATGTTCAACCTCTCCCAGGGATGTCCAGGCTGGAGCCAACCTTTCTTTCAATCGCCAGTTCTATGACGAGCATTGGTCCAAGCATCGAGTGGTCACGTGCATGGACTGGTCTCTCCAGGTAAGAGCTGCTGACAGCAAGGGACAAACTCTGTTTATGTTCTGATGCATCTGTGTGAAAAAATCTATAGGAGAGATTCGTTCCTGTACTTTGTATATGTTCACTAACCTGTAATTCTCTTCTGTATGCCTATTGGTGTTCTTATTTTACTTACGGTCTTAGTTTAGGTTTGCCACTTAGTTACTTGTATTTAATGAGTACCAGTTACGTGCTTGGTACCAAATGAAGAGCCACACCATTCTGCCCATTCTGCTCTCATGTGTGGACATTTTAAAATCTTCATCTGCTCTTACCGCTCCTTGTGAACTAGTTTATTTGACTTCCCTTGTACTTACAGAATCATTTTCTCCATTTAGTTTTCCTCTACTCTTCCTCCAAAAAGGCTATAGATTCAACTACAGCACAGGCAGACTATCTCTACACCTGGCCTTCCTCTTGAATTCCATTTTGTACATCATACAGATTTACTCTGTGGTCCCTCATAATTTCAAAACATCCATTAACTTAGAGTTTAAGAAAAAAGAATTAGACAACTCAGCTCCTACACTCATAGCCCTTTGTGGGGTTTACAGGATCAAGTCACTGGCTGAAAAGACTTTCTAAGCAGATCTAGATGCGTCCCAATTATATTAACAAAGGAAAAAGAAGGGTCTAATGGCAGCATGGATTCCCATGGAGGCTTCCTGAGAGGAGCTGAGAGGAGAAAAAGAAATTCAAAGGTTTGCTATAACTTTGCTTTGATCTCCTGGGCTTCTTAAACAAGGACACTTAAACTTTGCAATATTTGCAAACTATCACCCTGGAAGTCATGTTGGGCTCTTGGGGAGTCCTGTCAGCTTTGTTATTCACTGATACTTCTTTAGTATGGTGGGTCACTACTGCCCACATAACACAACCAAATTTTCAAGTGTGTACAAAACCAGGCTCGTGATCCTACTCCCACCATGTGTACTCCTCTCACATGAAAATTATATTCTGCACCTGCAGTCATCTATGAGGCAAAGCTGAGTCACCTTGACAGCTCATTGCTACATCCCATTCAAGGTATGGTGGCAGGAAACCTCCCACTGACATCAATTGAAATCTACCAACATGCAAATTGAACACCTACCTTACGTCATGCCCTCTCTTACATAGGTGTTTATATCAGAAAATAGCTTTCTAATTGATCTCCCTACTCCACAAATCTACAGGGTTGATTCATCACAGGTGCTTTTACGATGTTAGTCCTCATAGAAATTGTTTATACACTCCCTGTATCCCCTAAGACCAGTTGCCTAACTTCTGTTGGGTTCAGTTTCTTCATCCATAAAATGATGATAATGACTGCATCTAGCTCATATGCTTCTTACAAGTATTAAATTAGTTAATATACCTAAAAAATTCAGAATTTTAAAAGCATGTGGTACATAAGCACTAGTTTAGAAATGCAACGGTAAAGAACTGGCAGCAGTCTTCTAGTGACAGATGCAGAGCTTAACTCCTACTACCTGTTCCCTGGAGTGCAGTCTAAAACCATTAACTTTGAGGCTTTGCCAGTTTCTTTTCTGGCTCCTCACATAGCCTGCTCCTGAGCCCAAACTGACATCTCAAGAGCCTGTTCTTCTCCATTCTGCTGGTTAAGGAAACATTGTCCCTGGCAAGGTAAAGTAGAAAGTAGGTCTATTAGAGCATCACATAGCTGCCGAGGGGATCCTTGGAAAAGGTGAAGGAGCAGAATTCAGTGCCAGAAGAAGCTCCAGGCAGCCTGAGGAATTCCATCGAAAGAAAGCTGTGCTTACCTTAGCCCATATGCCAACCTACAGGTGGTAGGTCCCCATTCAAACATTACGGTATCCATGTTGGAGAAGGCAGATAGCTCATCCTCATCAAATATGTACCCTGCAATTAATTATCCCTGAGAAATAAGTCTCCTGTATGTTGGCATAATCTCAAAAGAAGGAGAGTCCTATGAACCTCATTGGATACCCAAGAGACATCCCCTGCACCTGTCTATGTCTTGTCTGTGCTGGCCCCCAACCCCACCTTCTCTCTTGAAAACCATCTCACTTGACAAGGTCCACACCAGAGGTTTTTATTCCAGTGGGGATGTAGCCTGGGGGTATGGAGAAAGCAGGAACAAATAGAGAAAAAGAGATATAGAGAAGAGCATCTTCTGTGAGATTCATTCTCACTTTCCTTAGTAACATTCAGGATAAAGGACACTTGGAGGGAGTTGGTATTTAGAACACCAAGCGTAACTGTAGAATCCTCCTTTTTATGTTATTTGCTGTGTTTCTTGTACTTAAGCTTTAATTATAATTAAATTATTATTATTTATTGGCATTATTTAGTAACAAAGGGTTAAATACAAGCCCTTGCTACTGAGCACAGTTACTAAAGTAAAAAAAAATAAATAAAAATGTTTTGGCATATTCAGAGATCAATAAAAACCAATTATGAAAACAAAGAGTTTGTAATCTAATAAAAGAAACAAGTGAGAAAAAAATTCATACAGCTTTAATGGAGGAGGATGCAAAGAATGCTAAGGGAGAGGATAGGGGGCAAGGATTGGGGCTAATAGAGCTGTCTGGAAGACCTTACGTGAAACCTTGAAGGATGAACTAATGATATCAACAAATGAAGAAGCTTTCCATCTTTGGAATGTGAGTGCTTATCTCATAGAAATGGAGTTTGTACCTGTGTACACCAAACTAGCTCAATACAGTAGGAGGAAAGATGGAGACTCAGAAGCAATTAAGCAGGAGACATGAGCAGTGACAGATCTTGGAAGATTCTGCCTGACTCAGTTTTTGCCTTGTAAGTAATACTGAGTCCCTAAAGTATTTACATGGAAAAGTGACTTGGTTAAATACGTAGTCATTCTAGAAAAGGTTGGAGGGTGAAGTTGCTGAGAATAGGCTTCTGGTAAGCCTTTTAGGAAGGCTTCATCCAGATAAGGAATTAATTCAGGCGGCTCTGATCTTAAGGATAGAGAGAACAGACTTGAGAAATGTATTGAGGAAGTAATAGGACACAGTATGTGAGATTCAAGACAGTAATGTTAGTGTGCAAGACCCTCCCATAAGGAATGCTGGAAGAACAGTAGGTTTTGTGTGGAAGCGGTGAGCTCCTTTTTCTATTCCTTGCACTTGATGTGTTTATGCACACTCCTGGTCCATCTCTAGATATGTTCCCAGATACAAAAATCTGCAGAGTAGCAAGAAATCAAGAGCAGAGAGACAGACCAGGAAGGCAGCAAACCATTCCTCTTGGAACTAGACCCTAAAGGCCAAAGAGAGTACAAGAGTGATCAGAGAAGAAAATCAGGAGAGAAAGATGAAAGGGAAGCCTCTGAAATGTAGGGGAGAGAAGCAAATGACACAAGGTGATACAGAAGGATGGAGCAGGATTTGCACTTTGGTGCTTATTGGTGTCTCAGGACATAAATACACACGGCGTGCTGCAGCAGACACTAGATACAGGACGTAGAGGCAGTATGCTGACATGAAGTATGCCACAGCTTAAAAAGAAGGTGCCACTTATCATATGTGGCAGCGCATATGTGTCTAGGAATAAGCCAGTTTTCTTTGTAGCATCATCTTAGCCCAATCCATCCTGTGATCTCTTCCGTTTAGTACCCTGAGCTGATGGTCGCTTCTTACAACCACAATGAAGACGCTCCCCACGAACCAGATGGAGTGGCCTTGGTTTGGAACATGAAGTTTAAGAAAACCACCCCAGAGTATGTCTTCCATTGTCAGGTAGGAGTCGGCCTTGTAAACATAGCTTACATCTCCCACTAAACCAAACTGGGTTCATCCTGTATTGCATCTGACTTACGTGGAGAGGAAGAACTGGATTTAAACGTGGACTGGTTGACAGTTTTGGAAAATTCCCCTGCAGTAACCTAATGTTTTAGGAAAGTGGCCACAGTTAGGAAGCCTGGCTTGGGACTGTATGTCATTTTCTTTCTATTTAAAACAGCCCAAATGAGGATGAGTTTACAAAGACCTCGCACTTAGGAAGAAACTGTGGTGTACCGCTTCCTCTGCTTAGCAGCAACATATGCTTGCCACCCACGTGGACACCCTTAAAAAGTTACCACGTCAAGTCCCTCCTCCCTCTGAAAGCGCTTCAATGGATTTTGCCAATTTGAGGTTTAAGGGCGTCATATTGCTTTACAGATAATACTACTTCGGTAGATCACTTAGGAGAGGAATAATGTGCAGTGTTTCTTGAATTGTTGGGGAAGACAGATGCTGTCTCTGGCTTGTAAGTGCAGAGATCATTTCAAACAGGGTGGATAGTCTGTGACACGTGTTTGCACTTCCACAGTCTTGCTGCAGGCTGAAATTATGCTATATGCACACACGTTCAGCTTGACTCTGTTGCCATGACCCTGCCTAAATCACAGGCCTCAACATTGACCAACACACCAAACCCTCTATTAATGCTCCTATCCTGTGATTAGGCACAGGGAAATGGAAAGCCACCATTCCAGCTCAAAGTCTCAGTTCCTCAAATATTACAACTCAGAGATGCTGAATGGTGATTACTCCAAAGAAAGACACGTCCTTCCAAGAGGGTGGGCAAACGTGTGGACTTGGGGGTCTCAGTGTCATTTTCTATCTAAGTGCACAGTATCTTTTTGAACTACAATCTGTTTAGACTTTAAGACATTATCAGATACAGTTTAGAGAACAGGAGCTGCTGGAATCGAAGTCCCAGTCTCGACCTGATTGAGGAGCCTCTAACTCTGGCCATGTTTTTCCAATTTGCTATCTCAAAAACAATTTAACAAGAGATCTCATCTGCATAGTAAATAACCTTTATTTTCAGAACCTTTGAAATAAGAACAGTTCTCTCTTTTTCTTGTTTTTAAGATTATCAAGTTTGTCAGTCTGATATGCTCATGCTGTAAACATAGAAGCACAAAATTCTAATTTGGTTCAGTTTTAAGAGGTTTGCTGAATTGCCAGGAAAATGCTATAAGGATTATAGGATAAGGAAAAGCACATTTTAGGGAAAAAAAAAACAGTTCCTTGAAAGTACTTTGATATTACAGAAAGCATATCTTTAAACAATCCAAGAAGTAACACATTGTTTTCATCAATGTGCATATTTATCATAATTTTTAGGTTTAAAAATGTTGACTGACCAGAGGAACACCATGGTAATCACCATTTGATAATGTCCTTAATATTCACAACATTTTGCTGTAAAACACTTAGTATTCAGAGCATGACCCTGCAGATAGAAGATGTGAATTCCAAGAGTCTTTGGTGTTCAGTAGAATTTTTAACTGAAGATCTCAACTTAAGATTTCACCAGCTTTTCCCCCTTACTTACTTTTGGTTTTGCAGTTACTTTTCACTTACTTTTACCTGAAGTGTTCCAATATATGTATTTTAGAGGAAAATATACTCCTAAAAAAGTTTTTAAAAAGCTAGAAGCACTCTGAATTTACTAAGTATCCACAGCGGAGTCACCAGAAGAGCTAAGTGAAAAGCTCTGTGTCTGCCAGCTTCCTCTACTATCTTCATTTCAACTGGTGCCCAGAGGCAGGTGTGAGATCCATCATCTGCCTTACCTTCTTGACGGGAAAAGAAACTCAACACTAACGCTTTTAAATTTTAGGGTTGGTCCGTGACAATACACAAAGACCTTGAAGAATCTGGGATTCTAGGTATCAAATAAAAGACATACAGCTTCATCATTTAAGGTGTAGAAAATCACGATTTTGCTAATCTAGGATACATGGTGAAGACTGCATAGAAAGAACCCTGACCACAAAGAATATCATAATTCAAATTGCGGAACACTGCCAGAAAACCTAGTTGCTGCAGTTGAGTTCATTTGTTTCAACTGACAAAACTCTAGGAGCAATGGAAGAAGGAACGTGGGACCGGATCTAGAAGGGTGAAAGGAAGAAAGCTTTGATCCTTTGCAGAAAAGAAGGAAGGGAAAGAAATGAGTAGCAAAGAGCAAATGTAATTCTAGAGCCCTTCTGCAGAGGCTCTCCAGGCAAGCAGTCCCCAGGAGATGAGAGACTATCAGATATTCACAACAATTTCTGCACATATCTGTATCTGCTTGGATATGTACATGTGAGTGGGTGATTGCATTTCTACACGAGTAGATGCGATAAAGTTGGTTACAATGTATTGGGTTTTTTTTTATTAAAAAAGCTTAATTTATTTGTATTAGAAAAGCAGATATGAAGATAGGACAGAGAGATCTTTCATCTGCTGGTTCATTACCCTAGTGACCTCATAGCTGGAGTTGAGTTGATCTGGAGCCAGGAGCCAGGAGCTTCTTCCAGGTCTACCATGTAGGTGCAGGGTTTCAAGGACTTGGACCGTCCTCCAGTGTTTTCCCAGAACACAAGCAGGAGCTGGATGGGAGTGGAGCTGCTGGGACATGAGCCAGCACCCGTATGGGATCGAAGCAGGTAATGGCCCAAGTAATTGCGTTCTTGTCACGTACATGTGAGAACTGGATAGAGTTCCAGGCTCCTTCCTCAGTCTGGCCGAGCCCTGATGTCGCAAGCATCCATGCACAAACCAGCATTAGGAAGATTTCCTCTCTCTCACACACACAAATATTTTTTTAAATGTTAACATTTAACATTTCCTTCATGCTGATGTCTAGATTAGTAATTGACCAAAGAATTGGTGCCACAACCTCACTAAGTTGTCATATAAAATTAACACCCCCGGTCTACCCCAAAATAATCCAGGAAATCAGTGTTTTTTATAACTCTTAAAATCCTACTATTTCCAAGTCACTCGGGCTTTTAGGCAAATACACCTGAAATAATGAACTTCAGAACGTAGATTACAGGCATTAAGGGAAGGAAGGCTTTCTTACAAGGTGAAAAGGTGAATTTGCATGTTAGTTTTTTGATACTAACATGGACTGTGCTACTTTCATGGTCATAAAGTCCCCTGACTCCACCTTGGCTGTAAGTCGTTAGAGGAGGGCCGGTGCCTGTGACTATCCACGCCAGGATTCAGGTCAGCTGGGTTTTCACTCTGCCTCGTGCTACCTTAGTGGAGGTGCCGCCAGACAGCAGCGTGCAGGTGTGACTCATGGAGGGAGGCGGGGCTCAGCAGAGCAGAGCTGCAGAAGCACCTGGGTCTCCGGCCTCAGTGGACCCCTTCCCAGACGTGTGGCTACCCTGGAGAGGAGCTGCTGCTTGGGCTGTTCCTGCAGAGCTCTCATTCTCATTTGTCTGGGATACAGCCTGGGCATTTCTCAAGCTTCCAGGAGATGGATTATGCAGTAGAAACTGGAAATCACCAAATGCCACGGGGAAATGAAGAAAGGCGCCAGTCAGCTCAGGAAACTGGTAGGCTGCTTCTCTTCTCACTCCTCATTCCCCATTTCCTCCTTGGCACTGTGTGAAGCGATGTTTCTTGCGTTGTTTTCCTGGTGCTGTGCCTGAGTGTGTCTGACCAGTGCCCTAACCAACTGTCCCTGCTGCTCACGGCTTTGTCCATCCCCATCTCCCATCCCTACCCTGACACATGCATTTCCATAATTTGGCGGGTGCCAGGGTAAGCTCTGGAGGTGGATGATTCGAAGACTCTGTTTATCCAGGGGTGTGAGCTCAGAGCCCTTTGGAGCAGAATGTGGTGACAGTGTGTGGCAGGGAGTGCTGCTTTCTGGGTAGTGACACACCTCGACCTAGCTGATATCCAGAACATTGGTATAAAAGCGAGGTAGTTTTCAATGGCTGCCAAAAGGAAGCCAAAATTCTGTTAATACTAGTATATCTGAGGTGCTACCAAATCAGTTGATGAAATTGTAGATAAATCATTAGGAAAAGACTAAAGAGGAGTGCAAAACTAATAAAGGTAGTCAGGGTACCGTGCATGAAATACACCACTGGGCTGCTACATTTCGTCTGTAGATTTGCTCAACCCTCTTGCCTTCGTGACCTCGTTGAACTTTACAACAGAAACAGGGAAAAGATGTTGTTCTTCTCCAGGTGTGAGCTTTCAAAAGTTAAGGGTCACCCAGTCTGTGAGTAGTAATTGTAGTCCTAGAGCATTCTGTTAAAAAATTGTTTAGAAAATGGCAGGCTAATTCATTGCACATTTAACGTTTATAGCAGTGCTGAGGTATACTGAAAAAGTGTTACTCTGAGTCTATTGCAGGATTCACTTTAAATTGAATGAAAATCAGACAGAAACAAGTGGCAACTCTAAGTCTGCAACCTTTTTTTTTTCCAAATTATCCAGTTATCTGAAATTTCTGGTTCTAACATTTTAATAAATGTTACCTTTTATTCCAAATAGTATTATTACATTAAAATTTTCCTTATATTTTATTTTCCCTTCTTGCAAACTCATACTAAAAGTATTCAAAACTCAAGGGTCCAATTGGACGTAGTCATTACAAACAACTGACGGACAAAAATATTAAAACAGAAGTATGGACAGACACTGTTTGAGTTAGATTCAACAGAAAGTTTTAAAGATCGGAAGGTTCTATCTTTGTGCTGTTTCTTGGCTGCTTTTTTTTTTTTAAGGTATTCAATTGACATTTCATGTTAATGGTTACTAATTTTTTTTACAGAAAAAAAATGCTCATGTGAAAGGCAGAAATAGGGAGAATGCCAATCAGCTGTTTGACCCCTCAGTTGGCAGCAGAGGCAGGACTGATCCAGGTGAAAGGAGAGCAGACCCCCATCTGGGTCTCCAACACACATTCGGTGCATCTGTTGCTGCCTTCGCAGGCACACTAGCAGTCAGCA